CGGTTGCCATGAAACACTTACAAACCGAGAAATAAGACTTGATTAGCCCGGCAAGACAGGTGACATGGAATTTTCATTAAATTTAACTCACGCGTACACAAAATGAAGCAAAAATATTGTATTTTCGAACAAGGAGACCTGATGCGATGCACCCCGCTGGTTTTCGAAGCGATGTATTTTAAAGAGAAACATTTGTTTCCTTTGAAAGCGTGTTCAGAAGATTTATGACTACAATTCATCAAGCGTAGATAAGTGTCCAACTATAAATTATTCATATTATTTAAGTAAACTTTTCACACTATGTTCACTACCTGTGACATCAGCAGAAATGAAAAAATAAGATGTCCGGCTGTTCAAACAGTTGCATACTTAATTTTCATTGAAGACTGAAAATAGTACACCTTCTTGCGTTGCCAGTACTTTTTGTCGTTTTTTTCGAAATTTCTTTTCGCGGCAGGGGAGCAGTAGCCAAGAACCTTTCCCTCTTTCCGATCACTTATGACGTATTTCTCATCAAACTTTCAATTTGAGATGACCATTAGAAAGAGTAACATATGACGTCTTTCATTAGCTCTTAAACTCGCAAAACAACGTTTTGGCTTCAAAAATCCTTACCTTGTCCTCGATACGCCTGAAACATTTCTATTTTAATTTCCTTAGGCCATCATGTTTCATTTTCTTGGTCTTTTTAACCCTTATAAAACTTGTATCTTTAGTTGTATGACGTAAATTAGTCAGTTCGTTAGATCTGTCGATTGCTCAGATGTTAAACTAATATTTCACTTCAAGTAGAGGCAGCTAAGATCTAAGTTTTGTTTAATTATTCACGAGCGTATCATCGAGAACTGCTTTTTTCTAGAGTCCGGACTAACTGGCTAACGAATTTACTAAGTTATCATTCACTGTCCCATATTAAAAGTACTTTATAAAGAGCTCCTTTTATTTACAGAGGATGCGCCGACTTCAATATATAGACGTCTGAAGCTTCCGATCTAAAGCAGAAAGGACAATCATTAATGGCTTTGGTAATATTAGTTGGGAGTTTACGCAAATCGTTTGTCTGTCAAATATTCGGCAAGACTGCTAAATCGTATCGTAAATGAGGAACGTTTACACAAATAACCTGACAAGCTGGTGAATTATCTTATCAGAAAAGGGTCATGCAAAGAAAAAAAACAAAACAAAAAATATTTTAAACATCAACCTAAAAAGTGGAAACAGTTTTCGTTTTGTAGGAGGCACAGGCACATAAACAAGAAAAGATTTACCTTTTTTCACCGAAAGATATTTTTCCTATTGGAAAGAAAAAAAAA